CTGTAAAACAGCAATTATGCTGAGCCAGGCTTGATTTTTAGTGATCTTTTCCTGTTAAATAAATAAATCAAAATCAAATCAAATCAAAATCAGCAGGAAGAGACAAACATGCCAACGTTTGAAGAAGAAAACAAAAGTTTGTAGCTAAAGGCTAGCTATAGGCTAAAAGTTACAAACGGACTAAAATCAGCAAAAGAGTAGTTAAAAACTAAATAGCTATCTAAAAGCTAAAGTTTCAAAGTTCTAAAAGAAAAGATCAAAAACTAGGATTAAAAACTACAAGTAGCAACAGGATAGCTGAAAACTACAAGTAGGAAAAAGGCTAAAAGTAGCAAGACATTAACTAAAATCAACAAAAGCTTAGCTAAGCTTAAAAGATTAGCTGAAAATATTAAAATTAGCAAATGAGGAGCTAAAAAATAAAAAGTAGCTAAAGCTAGATAAAAATACCAAGAATCTAGATAAAAGTGGCAAAAGGCTAGATTAAAACTACAAGTAGGAAAAGGAAATGCTAACAGTAGCAAAACAAAATCTGTAAAATGGTTGTTAAACATAACAAAAGATTAGCTAAAAGTAGCAAAATTCAATAAATAATAAGCAAAATTGGGGCTAAAAAATAAAAGTCAAACTATTTGCAAAAGTAGCAAAAAGCTAGCTAAAAGAACCAAGAAGCTAGTTAAAAGTAGCAAAGGAAGACAAAAGCAGACAGTATGCTGAAGTAGATGAAGAGAACAAAGAAGAGATCTTAACCTATTTATAATTTTTATAAATAAAATAAARTATTTAGAAGATCATTGTTGAAGAATCAACCTTTACACCCAACATATTTTACAAACTGTAGCCATACAAAAAACCRCGAGCTCTGATTTCATAATCAGTCACAGAAAGGACAAACAACTGAATATTCATCTGGTTTTCACTTTCAAAATGTGTTTCCTGTTGCCATGGTTACACTTTTTCAGCTTGTTTAAGGCAGCAGGTCTGTGGGATGCTGTACCGGTCCAGACTCAGGCCCAGCATGGACACGGAGATCGCATCGGAGGCGGGAAACAAATGAATGTGTGTTTGTGTTGCAGATAGAACAGGTGAGCCAGCTGGCAGCGTTGGTCCAGGCCCAGCTGGAGTACCACAGCCGTTCCTCCGAAATCCTCCAACAGCTCTCCAGCAAGATGGAGGACAGGTATCGATCCGTCCTCCCACCTCGGGACACAAATACCACTGTAAAAATAAATCTGCGTGGTTTAACTCAAACATTTCTGTTCTTTTTTTTTCTTTCCTTCAGGATAAAAGAAGTGTCGAGTAAACCCAGGAAAGAGTACACTCCCAAACCCAGAATGACCCTGGAACTTCTGCCCCCCAACGAGAGCCACAACGGGGGGATCCACTCTGCCAAATCCCCCGGAAGATCACCAGGTAGAAGATGGGAAAGGGTTACCTGTCAGATGGGTAGTTGAACCGCTTTATGGCCAAATATGACGCTCTGTTTGATCCTGTTGAGTCAGCAGGAGCAAATATTAAGTCCCGCCCCTTTAATATTCTGTTGAGTCAGCTGGAGCAAATATTGAGTCCCGCCCCTTTATGATACTGTTGAGTCAGCAGGAGCAAATATTAAGTCCCGCCCCTTTAAGATTCTGTTGAGTCAGCAGGAGCAAATATTAAGTCCCGCCCCTTTAAGATTCTGTTGAGTCAGCAGGAGCAAATATTAAGTCCCG